ACCCACACTGTCATTACTTGTAAACCCAATGTTATATCCACTGTCATTACTTGTAAACCCAATGTTTTACCCAGACTGTCATTACTTGTAAACCCAATGTTTTACCCAGACTGTCATTACTTGTAAACTCAATGTTTTACCCACACTGTCATTAATTGTAAACCCAATATTTTACCCACTGTCATTTCTTGTAAACCTAATGTTTTACCCATGCTGTCATTTCTTGTAAACCCAATGTTTTACTCATGCTGTCATTTCTTGTAAACCCAATGTTTTACCCATGCTGTCATCTCTTGTAAAGCAAGGTTTTACCCACACTGTCATTACTTGTAAACCAAATGTTTTACCTACGCTGTCATTTCTTGTAAACCCAATGTTTTACCCACACTGTCATTACTAACTTGTATACATTCATGGTCAACACTTTTATTTCCTCATTACCACATTTATTTCATGCAAATAAAGTTACTTCTCCTCATTGCAAATTTTGAGTAAACTTCTCACAGGAGCTTATAGTTATACCACACTAGGATAAACCACCATCACAGTCAAGTATATTATGGGATATTACACAATTCATGACATGCATTGTACAAGCATGAGTCTGCGAGTGGCATACTGACAGTGACGATGGTTTATTCCTATTATACATGTATTACACCAACTTTTTTTGGACAAGGACATTACTTTAAATCACATGTAATGATACAGCATTAGAAAAGTTTTACCGTACTTCTCCGAGTATAAGCCCCTCCCTAAGTATAAGCCCACACCTCTGTTTTTAGACATTTAACAAGTTGAGGGCATCCCCGAGTATAGGCCCAAGATGATTTTCCCGGATGTCAACGACATTTAGTAAAATATGCATGTAAAAATTGTATTTCATTGCATAAAAATCATGATTGGTAGTTTGGTCCCAGCTTTTATGAGAAAACTCACATTATTTTCAGAGTGCATGGCGAGCGAACGCATGGAAGATAGTTGTATCTCTTCTATTTTGTTATTTACTCGGGATGAACCCTATGTTGCAATACTGAAATAATCCATATTTCTTTTGAGTAGTAGGTTTCCATTCCATTGAGTCTATCATGACTGGGGTGTAAACGAGCAAACTACTAGTATTCTTCGACATGACTTGTTGGCGGCCGTGAAGGTTTAAATACTTCCCCCAGCCCCACCCCCACCCTCAGTTTACCTTTCAAAAATTGCTAATCAACAGCTTTTAGGAAATAAATCACTGTTTTTTTTGTCGAAATCAGTGTTAACAGGTTGCATTTCAACATCGCGGTAATTCACTTCTGCATTGCGTTGACAAAATTACTTCGTCAATAATCGGAAAACTTCGTCTGTACAACACAGCATTTTCATTGGTTAACAAAAGCCGTGACCTGTTAGGTCAAAGGAAGTTGTTCAGGTCAAATCATGATGAAAAACACCATGGTGGAAATAGCTTTGTATCAAGAGTTTCCGTACGATAGAAAACATTCCACAACGAAGATAAAGATCTTGCCTTCGACCGTTTTTCTACAGACCCTACCCATTTTTGCGCCGTAAATTCAGACGGTATGTAAACCGTATTGTAATAACATATGTGTATTTTATGGACATGCTTGTTTCTTCATTGTAAAAAGTGTCCTGGAAATCAGTGACGCATTTTTTCCCTCAAAAAGACGTACGATAATATTTCTCCGAGACCGGTGCTGTGAATGAAAATGTAATTTGGTAATTTTTCGAGGTTGGGAAAAAATGATCTTTTCTGAGGTGGTCCTCGAGTATAAGCCCACCCCCTAATTTTCCCGATTTTACATGTTCAGACCCCTGGGCTTATACTCGGGGAAGTATGGTACTTGAAATCATTTTTATATGAAACTGGCCCTGGAACTAGCATACAGTGATTATAGATAAATGTAAGCAGTGACACAAATTCATATCTGTAATTCAGTGTTTATTCATATAGATTCATACATGTATTAGTAAAAACCTTGATATAGTAAAATCATTTTAATTTATGCAATTTAAAAAAAATGTTTTGTGGATTCACAAGGAAGCCACTTCGGATGGCGTTCATTTACATGATTCTGAAAAATTAATGTTCTTATCCTACTTATCAAGATCATGATTTAATGCTTTGGAATGCTTCTGAACACAAAATAAAACATGTTTTATTGTATATTTAACCATGGCACGCACGATTAAAAACAAACTTTTGACTAATCAGAAAGTCATATTCAGGCAATTAAAATGCTGGTACTTAACCAGAAATGATAGCAACGTGTAACACAGGCAATTACACTCACACATTACAGAACCAGGTCACTAAACTACACAGGTTTTAATACAGGTAGTAAAAATACTTTATGACTGAAGGAATTGCATGTGAATGCCCAATGAGGTGGAACAGACAAGCCATCTGGAATGTATGCCCAATCATGAAATACTAGGGTTAGTTGATAAATAAAAAAAATCAACCCTGGATGACCATATTTGTACCATACCAATGCACTAGCACTAAAGACATACAAAATGTATCATTAGCCAATATTGGAAATAATTTCCTCAGATCAACCATAGAAGGTAGATCTATGTAACCTTTCACCATTGATCATCTCATGACAACAATATTACATCCATCATCAAAGTCACTGTAACTTAAACCCACATGTAGACTATAAATGGAACCCTAAACAATAGGGATTAGTTCGTTACGCGTCCTGCTGCTGTACACAGCTCCGGTAATTTTTCAGTAAATTGCGTTTTTGGGTGTACTTTCGGCCACTATGTCGTACCGAAAATGGATAGGTGTGACTATGACTTTTGGCATTTGGTGGCGCACTTTCGGCGAGAGTCGGAAATCCGGAAACAGTCGACCGTTTCAGGATAGGTGGGCGTGGCTACAACACGAGAAATATCCCAAATTTACTTGGATACGAGTAATCATTTTCAGCAAAAAAACTAATAACTGCCCATTTCAGTGGAACACAGATCTAAAATGGGAAACGTGAGGGTGGGCATTGCACAGGCACTTTAAGGATCCCAAAGTCACTGTGACTTCCTAGTTTAAGGATCCCAAAGCCACTGTGACTTCCTATTTTAAGGTTCCCAAAGCCACTGTGACTCCCTATCTTAAGGATCCCAAAGTCACTGTGACTCCCTATCTTAAGGATCCCAAAGCCACTGTGACTCCCTATCTTAAGAATCCCAAAGCCACTGTGACTCCCTATTTTAAGGTTCCCAAAACCATTGTTACTTCCTATCTTAAGGATTTTGTTATTACCTTCAAACTGAATAATGAAACGCTTGAAAATATCATGTGTAGAATAGGGATGTGTTCCTTACCTTCATAAGTACTGACTCACTTAGTTTATCCCTGTTGACTATTTTGATTGCCACTTTCCTTCCAACAACACAGTGTACTCCCAGTTTTACCAATCCTGTAAGATATAAATGCAAAATTAATTGCATCCTGTTTGTGTGCGATAAATAAGATATTAATATCAAGGTTAAATTAAAAAACAAATACTACCAGTCAATTAGAAATCATGGCAGTTCATGTGGCTGTAAACAATGCAGCTAAACTTTTGATTCATCATCACCCAGGGGTGGGAGTTGCAAGACACGATTGGTGGAAATAATTGTCTAATTTGCATAAATTAATATTCATGAGCAATGAAAAATTAAGTAAAATTGTGCCAAAATGCTTTTCAAATGTCTATTTTTTTACATCATTAGGCACAAAATTCACAAGGATTTATGAACTGTATCAAAAAAAAAAAAGAAATTCTCTGCCAGACCATCCCCTTGTCAGCCTCCTTTAGTGCAGCTAATGATGTACAACTATCGACTTTTTTTCGTAATAACGTCAAATTGTTATACTTATAATGCTGTAACCTCCTGGGGCCTGCAATCCTTTCACAGTATTGCATTCTGCTTAGCGATATCGGCATCTTGTTAAATGTTTTCTTAGGAGGTATATTATTTCCAAATAGGAAGAACGCAAAAACTCAATTACGCATTTTTGGTTTTTTTTTATGCAGCCATGCGCCTATTATCTCCACATCATTACTGGAGTTATATTGCTCCTCGCTCACAGAATAATTTGACCAAAAAAATGCATAATAGGGTACGTATATTACTGAAAAGACTTCAATTCCTGTTTGACAATATACGATCGTAGTAATGTTTTCAGGCATAGTTTTCAGTAACCATATAATATATATACTTTGTATATATAGAAAATAATGACTTAGACTGCAATGAGGAAATACAGTCTCAATAAAAAAAAAAAACTAGGGAATCTAACAGGAAAAATAAATGTTCAGTGTCAGTCAGTATAAAATTATTACACATTTCACTAACAACTTACTTTTTCTCAACAGTGCTTATATTGATTCTGAAATTTATGATATATATTCTCTTATCGTATGTATTAAGTGGGCGTAATGTGACAACCGTGAACAAAATTTTGCATGGATGGGCACTTTCTCGTAATCTACAGTGACAATGTTGCCTATAAGTTATTAACCAGGGCACATACAGTTGTACATGTATATTTATTAACGGCAGTAGAAAACAATAACATTATTTTTATTGTTAAGCGTAATAACTTATTCTTGCCAACGAGTCACGTAATTCTCATGCGGACATGAGGAAGATTACCGTTAACGGTACGCCCACATATGTCATGGAAACTCCTTACGTACAGCCGAGTAACATCTTTTGATATCGATCTAATTTTAAGTTGGTATAAGCAGTTTGAATGTTTGGTGTAATCGGATAAAGATGCTAAGATAATAAAATTGGTGATTAGCAGTATACAAATGTATGTTTTGAAAAGTTGTTTGTAATTATAGTACATGTACAATATAGCTCTAAATATATGCATATAAGAGTAAATATCAACGTCGCTCGTATATATTTATACAGACTCCCAATTTCTAATTATCTCATTCTCTCGTAACATGGCAGCACATAAACATAAATTATGTTTTATGTCCCAGATCTTATGGATTGATGTCACTCACTACATTTCTTCAAAAATTGACAAACACTTTTAGCAGGCAATGTGTTAAACTGAGTATTAATTTCACATCGACAATGTAGTGTGATCAACTTTATTGATCTTCATAAGTGAGCTCTATAGACAATATGTGTATACGTGTACATAGAAGAGTTTGGAAAAAATCTATATACCCTATATATCTATGAGAGTTTTAAAATAGTGCACTTTAGGTCATTTTGTTTGTTGTTTCACAAATTATGAGACCCATACATGTATATCTCGCGACGACTACTGCATTTTAACTTTGAATAGCGTTTTGAGTTATTAGTACATGTATCAGCGATGAAACGTGAATCGTGTGTAGCGCCATTTTGAATCCTGCTACACTACTCCACTAATTTTTGTAATTCACGCACGTTGACGTTCAATGTTTACGTCAATTCTTTTTTTAGTAGGTCAATAAACTGCCCGACTGAGCTTACTCACCAGGCATTGCCTGCTACATATTATTTTGCTCTGATGTGTATGAATGGATAATGCCTTAAATGATATTAAGTCTGCCACCAACTTTATTGATAACTGCGAAACTAACAAACGATATTATTTTAAAATACTCAAAATTATTCACATTGCCTCTGCATTACTGAACACCAGCAGCAGTAAATACACCCCCCCCCCCCCACAGAATAAACTGGAATGTGACAAACAAACAATTTGACAAGTTTATACAATGTAGATGTCAAGAATGTCATTCATTGCATAAACGCAATTAGGGGTAACGTACTTGTGAATAGAATGGCATCTTGCCAGAAACACCAATAAATACAATACAAGTACAGCACACACAACCTGTTCAACGTTATACCCCCGGTAGTTATTTCACACATAACACAAAGCAAGCTTTTGAAACCTATATTGAGTCCATATAACTGTCTGCAGTGCTTCCCGCATTTCAATTTTATCTTACGCCCACATAATTTTCCATCAGGTGAAAAAAAAAACCTTAGAAGTACACGTTACAGTTGATATGTACTAATATATTGTAAATTACTTTAAATTTATATTTTCCCCTGGAATTTATTTTCACAACCAAAAAACGTATTACCGTTGAAAATAAAATCCAGCAAAATACCTTTTTTTTTGAACACGACAGAGTTCTTTCTCAGTTTTCTTTGACTTTACATGGACTTGACCAGATAAAGGCTAATCATGATCACATGGCAGTTATATTTCAACTATGAATATAAATCTTGTGAGTGGTTAATATACCAGTAACCATCAGACCATCATTGAAGTGACAATGATTTTTTTTTGGTAAGGTACGTTGTTGTAAATTCAAATGGGAGGCGGGGGGTGACTATACCGTAAATGACAAAGAGCAGTCACTCTAAACAAAATGAAAAGTTAGTTACATATTCTGAGTTGTCTGCACTTCAATTAATCTCTGCTTGTACAATTCATCATGATAATATATGGTCATAATAACTATCGTAAAATCTGTATTAAAAGCCGCACCCATTCTTTTTGAACAATTGAGACCCAAAAATTCACCATTTCTAATATGTGTATAAGCTCTAATAGAAGCCGCATCCCCTCTGTTGCATTGTACCATTTTAATAGAATCCGCGACTTTTAATACAGATTATACAGTACATGTACTGCATTGGCCAATTATAACACAAATACCAGTATTGCAAGCATGAAGATGTAGATATATGCATGTACGACTTATAAAAATAACATATATACATGGTATGCAACTGGTAAATATATGCTGTGCAATCTACAAACCAATTTGAGGTCACATGACAAACATTCGAGAAATATATTTTAATACTATATCACTATGCAAATGAGTTCGAATCTGACAACCAATAGTTATATTTTCCACCGCAAGTTGTTCTTTCTAGTGTCATTGTGTATTTGTCTTCTTGAATAGAGTGATAACCTCACTCACTCTGTTACTACCCTTATGGAAAGTCCCTGTACTCAATAGATACGCGATAGATACGCGATAGGAACGCAATAGACATTTTGTACTCGGCAACAGTACGCAAGAAAACCCAGCTAACTGGTGGCTCTCTTGCATATACGCAGACTATACTCATGAAATTATAGGTCTATACGTACAGGTACTCGAGAACCAAAGAAAATAAGATCGTGACTAGCCGCGTACTGTACGCAGAAAGTAATCAACTTAACTTCCATGCAGTTATACATGACAAGTACCCAAGAAACTTAGCTTCTATATAGATATACGCGACAGATATGTGTGATCAACAAGTATCGATCTATACATTGTTCTATTGGTTAGAGCGCATATGATCGATGCATACATGGAACACACGCATGAAAAACTTGCACATTGAGATCGTCAGTGCATATCATCATACATATCTATGGACTGCATATCATCATACATATCTATGGACTGCATATCGCCATACATATCTATGGACTGCATATCATCATACATATCTATGGACGGCATATCATCATACATATCTATGGACTGCATATCATCATACATATCTATGGACTGCATATCATCATACATATCTATGGACTGCATATCGCCATACATATCTATGGACTGCATATCGTCATACATATCTATGGACTGCATATCATCATACATATCTATGGACGGCATATCATCATACATATCTATGGACTGCATATCGCCATACATATCTATGGACTGCATATCGTCATACATATCTATGGACTGCATATCATCATACATATCTATGGACGGCATGTCATCATACATATCTATGGACGGCATGTCATCATACATATCTATGGACGGCATGTCATCATACATATCTATGGACGACATGTCATCATACATATCTATGGAAGGCATGTCATCATACATATCTATGGACTGAATATCATCATACATATCTATGGACTGCATATCATCATACATATCTATGGACTGCATATCATACATATCTA